TTACATATTTACTTATGATAAACAACATATGTAAAGTACTAATTATGTTTATCGATATACAAGTAAATTATTGCTTGTGAAGGAAAGGAAAGACAAATAGTTAACTTTGAATAAAGCTTTAAGTTAAAGTTTGACGTCTAATTTGAATAATAGTTTGAGAGAATTTGTAACCGCATGAGAGAGAATCTCTAATTACACTGTCACGGATAAAAATCTGCAGTGAAAAAAATGCAACAACCTGGTCAAGATTAGCACACACAATCCTACAATATTACTGGATTCACATTACCGCGCACATTACGATAGTCGTGAAATAAATTGCAAAAAGGAAAAACATTAAATCACAAAAACCACAGCTTCCCCGTATTTTATTGTTTACGCTATAACTGAACATTAAATTTTTCCGTAGGAATTCCAATAAAAACAGAAGAGTTTAATTTTGACTGGAACCAATCCAATTACTGCAACGGATTTGAGAGAAAGAGAAAGATTTTACACTAGTTTTCTCTTTTTTTATTTGTTTTTTTTTTATTTTATTTTTTTACCGATACGCATGTTGCTTTTGCAAAATACAGGCGGAATTTCGATCTATCGATGTGTCCATACACTCGATGATCTTTTATCTTGGTGACAAATTGATAAATGATTTGGATTTAAATTCAAATTCGTGCAGTCGACCGCGAAACGAACTTTGCAAACGAAAGTGTCTCGATATCGTAAAGTTCGAGATTCGGAAAATGAGTTCGTGGAGAAGTTTAATAAAAAAAAATTATATATTCCACACGTATAGCAACTTCATCATCGTTATAGGATCTCGTGAGTAAGCATACCCTGAAGTACATTTTTCCCCTGCAATATCAATTTCCATAAATGTGTCTAGAGCGCGGCGCGCACAAAGAGAGTTTCAATAAAAAATTAATATATTCAATTTGCTATACCGTTGCAGCTACGATATATCCGCGCATCGGCGCAAATTCTTTTACGGCGTGTACTTTCAAAGTGACAACTCCTACAATACGAGAAGTAAGCTTTTCTGAAACTTTTTCAAATGTAATAACGCTACACACGACAGATTGATATAGTTTCAATAATATTATATAATTTTGAAAACATTTATTTATGTATTAATTGCGTGAAAACATATTTCAATCGAGCATTTCGACAATCAGAACATTTTAAAGCGATCAATTTTAAAGTTGAACTAATAAGCGTGATCTGTAAATAAGTTTTTACGCGCACGAATTAAGTATAAATAACTAATCTTCAAAGTAAATATATACATGAGAAAATACATGCTGTATTCTCTTTATTAAATTGCTATGGTTAAAGTTTGATATATTATACATTTTTAATTTAACACTTTTAACAAAGTACTTTTAAAAAAATTTAGGAATAGTTTCTTTTTAAATAATTTGTGATCAATCTGTGCCTAATGAAACTTTTGACAAAGTCTTAGTTACGAATTTTAATTAATAGATTTTTCTGCTGTAATCCATTACATTTTTTATTACAGAAAAAGCTTTATTCTAGAAAGAGTTGTATAGAGATTGTGTTTAATTTCAACAGAAATATGTTTTTTAAAATATATGAGAGATATCTCCTGTGTATAAAATACAGAATTTAGTCGTATCTTTTTGAACTCTCACGAGATTATATGCAAAAAATGAAAATAAGAATCCAAAATTGTCTACAATTAAAAAAAAAAGTATATTCACATTTTTGCACGGCACGTTTAGGAGAACGCAGATGTTTTACGCTGTTGACGTAAATTGTAGAAGGAATACCCTGCGTGATACTGTGGCGTATATTTTTTTTCCTCGACGATGGATGTTATCAGAATCACTAACTAGATCGCATGCGTGCGCCACAAGATAACGCGGTCGTGCGCTCGAAGGAAAAGCTTCATTTTTAATTAACTGAAATAGAAGTTCACACAGGCACTTACGTAATAATAATATGCGGTAATACTACAGTCTGCACATGTGAAAGCATAACGCGTTATTAACATTACTGATCGTTATTAGTTGGAAAAGCGGCATTAAGTTGACCTAAATAAGCTTCCACAAATTGGTGCTGGCATTCTTGTTACGAAGTTACACTTTTAATGAAAGTAAAATGTAAATAAATCTGATTCCTCTTTTTCATATTTTTAAAGATAGGATGTATATATATATATATATATGCGGATTATTATCCGTAATTTTCACAAGTATAGTTTGAAAATGATTCCGTGCAATTCCGCTGGTTGATGTGTATAATGTAAAGTAGCGTTTTATTAATCTACATTTAGATTATTTACGATCATTCACTCGATTGTGAGTGTAATTTTGTATTTTCTGAATTGTACTTCACAATAAGTAAAAATATTATTATAAAGAGATTTATTCTAAATCTGGTAATTAACAATAACGCTGTCTATTTTATGCGCAAAGTAGCGACACGTAGCTTTTCATTAGAATATTGTAACATACTAACAGTAAATTTCATGAATATTTGTGTGCGTGAAAAATACGAACAAATTAAAATAGCAAAAATTCGTCAAAAAAGCGCCTTTATTTTTTATATAATTTATATAATTAAATTATGTAAAAACGTGTTAAAAACGAATTGCACGCGAAAAGTGGAATAAAAATTTATTTTGGTTAATTATAAAATTATATTCCTAGCAAAAAAAAATTAATTGAATAAAAAGATATTTTGATAATACTTGTGATGCAATCCTCTGATGATGTCATCATTCTCTGATGAATATTTTTATATTTTATTTACTACCCAAGAGAGAGAAAATCTTTGTTATGATATTATCTAATTATTATAAAGATAGAAATACAAGTATTATAGATGATTTATTTCTAATATATTTCAAAACAGTTTTCGAAATGTTTTCGAAAATTAATTGACTCAATATGGTATAAAAGACAACTTGTTAAGACACACAACTCTCTTAATTAAATCTACAAGGTCACATAAATGTGGATATACTAGTATTTTACGTAATTTATATTATTAAGTTTGTCTATCTCTCTCTGTGTCTATATCATTAATAATTATGTATTATTACTATATAATATCGTATAAATACAGAAAACTTAATTATAGAAACGTAACAATTAAAATAAATCATATAACTTTTTGTGATTCATAAAATTGAATTTAAATAATTATATTAATTATATTATTAAATCATGTATTAAAAAGTGTGTTTCATTTACATTTTATTTGAAGATATAAAGAACTTCGCACTTAGATATTAGAAATTGTAATTATATATATATATGTATTTGAAACTAATGCATCTATTAATTTTCAAAACAATTTCAATAATGATATATACGCAATGGGAATACTATTTTATTTTTAATTCTAAAGGTCCAAGGTACTTAAGATTTATTATACTGGACAAAGATGCCTCGAATTTATGCCATGCTGAGAGTGGGAACGGGAATATTCCCGTTACCTACCTACCTGACGTTATCCGTATTTCTTCGAAAGATCCATTAGAAATGCTTTCCCTCTAATCCGACGACTTTCACGCAACGCGAAAATGTCGTCTCAGATTATCATGACAGTAGTGCTTAGTACAGATCTTAGCATTTACTCACACATCTTCGTTGAATTTTCTGCCATCTTCAACGATTAGCTTAAGCATATTTCGGTGTCTGAGATTTCGTGCTACTTTGATAATTTGATTCATATGAATAATTACAACATGAAATAAAGATTTCAGATTGTGATATTTCAGAGACCTGATTTTAACTTTATGGAAGAAAATTTTGTACGTGTTAAAGTTTTGAAGTAACATTTAATATTTAAATTCCTAAATATGACTTGCATGATTCCTAAACATGACTTGCAAAGAATGAAAGATGATTATAAATAATGTTATTATAGAAAGAATCTTCTAACACACATATATTGTTATGTATACACAAATTTAATGGAGAAATCAAAAATTAACTTTGTACTTTGTCAAGTTATTTATTAAAAGTTTGATTTTTATTAAAAGTAATTTTTTTTAAATCCATTGTTCAATAGTTATAATATATATAAGATAGATTATAATAACCATTATAAACACTAACCATTATAAGCACTTCAACGACAGTTTTTTATCAGGAACAGGGAATCGATATCGACTGGAAGAAAATTTGATGGTTTTATATAGAGGAAGACTTAATTATGAAAATATTTATAATATCTAAAGAGCTTAGGCAAATTGAGTTTCCAAAATGTAAGCCATGAACGGCCTTATAATAATATCCTCATTACAGAGTTAATTTCACCCAAATTCTGTCTGAACAAGTCGATGGGAGTTTTAATCATTAAGGAATTAAATTTGAATAATTTACTGAAATTTTTGATTAAGAAAAATAGGTTCAATTCATAATAAATAATCTATTATTAAAGGATTTTTTCAATAATGAATCATTTTCTATTATCCGAGTTTTGAAGAAATGCAATAAACAACCGATCAATTGCGTCAGATTAATAAAATATATAAAAATAATTTCAAGAAAGCACTAAAGATAATATAATCTCGACTAAGATTACAATAGAAAATCTTTGATGCTCTAGATCGAAAAGTGTAATAAAAATAATTCTTTGATACATATTGTGTTAAAATTTTACTGATTTATCGGTCAGTCTCCTAGATTTAAACGGAAACACGCACTATATAGCATTTAAATCTCCGGAGCTGCCTTCCATATCGCCGAGTCTTTCGTGTTTTCACACGGAATGAAATTAATCGAGCAAAAATTCCCACGACGCCCTCGATGACTGAGATGTATCGCGTTGCGTGAAAGTAAAACACTGACTAGCCACGTTATGAAAGGAGATAAAAGGTTCGCGGAGCAGGACCATCCCGCTGGAGTACAAACGGAAATGAGAGAAAGAGAGAGAGAGGAAGAGGCGGGTGAGCTTTCGAGATTCTCCCTCCCGCCATATTTTCTCCCCAATCCCTTTTCCCTCCACATTAAACAGCCACTTTGTCTACTCACTTTGGTCTCGCAGCGCAACACTTTCCACGATCCTCGTGCGTAGTCGGACTCGCGCTCTCTGTTGTTGTTTATATATCTGCGTGCGACTATAAGTACGGAGGAGTCCGCGCGCGGAGAGGGATGAAGAATACGGGAGATATAAAGAGACGGATGGAGAGAAAGAAAAAAAAGAGAGATAGAAAAGACAGAATATGGGAGGCCGAAGGAGAAGAAGAAACGCGTCTCGCGATGGATTTCACCCTCGCGAGGGCACCGGGACGTGATTGTTCGGAGAGGGGGTGGAGACGGCGACGGCGACGATGGTGATTTTACGCGCGTTTCACAAGTCCGGGCACAACAATGACATGTGCACGCGACGACGGTCGGGACGATACTGCGCCCTATTGGACGGCCCTGCGCAAATATAATGGCGCCCCTCTCCTGCGGTGCGTCCACCCCATCCTCGACGTCGGCGTCGGTGCCGCACCACTACCCCGATCCGAGAGGGTGTACGCGTCCTCTCCCCTCGGTGATGCTAGTCGTCTCTTCTTCCAATCCTTTTATCTCGCGTCCTCCACCGCCCTCATCTGTCCGCCGCGACGATCACCCTTTAACCCCCCCGGCGTCCTCGCGGGCACCTCGTCCCTCCTCGCCTCGACCATCCTCGTTCTCTTCCTCGTCGTTGTCCTCCTTTTTCTCTTACCGTCGTGGTCACCGCGCGACCCCTTCGGGTACCCGAGATGCTGCTCCCCAACGTTTTCTACGCGCGACACGGGTGCAACGGCGCGCTTCCGGTGCACATCGATGGCTACTTCCGCTCACGCTCAAAGGACTCGATGCGACGCGGAAGGCTCGTTCCTCGCGAGCGCGCCTTGCACGCTTCTCTCTTGCCTCCCTCTTTTCACCCTCATCCCACCCCGTTCACTCTTCTGTGCTCGCCGCGGAGGTAATCGCGTGCAGTTGAAGTTACGCTCGCGAGCACATCGCTCGAGATAAACGCGCGCCCGTTAGCCCTCTCCTCCTCCCCGCTGGAGGACTGCATTTTTGCCGGATGAACGGATTTTAATTGCATGACTGGCTTTTAGGAGCGCTTAGAATAACCAACGCGCGCGACCCTTTCGGTTTCACGCGGCCCGTGTTAGGGGAACAACGTCCTGAAAATTCCTAGCATATTTTAAGGATGTTCACTCTGGGGGACGAAAGTATATTTTAAGAATCCTCACCGAGCGACAAGGGCATATTTTAAGGTATCCTCGACACGCGGGCGACTTTAAACTTTTCGCAACTCGCATCTCGGTTACTTTATTACTTTGTTTACAATATCAGTTTATCCGCGTATTAATTTTTTTTTCGCCTATTTATTTTTATATAGAGTGATAAACAAGTTTTGTTTATCATTCGCATTTCAGAATGTGTATTAATTTGTAATTTTTATTAAATACGAAGAGGCGGCGATTGTTGAGTGTGTGTTTGCGCTTTAAAATATGCTCTGCTAATTTCGATAAACATTTCGAATATACTCGAAATATTTACATCAATCTGTTAATGCAAAATATGTATCTTCTAATATATATTAATTCTTCTAGTATATATTAATTGATATAAGCAACTTACTTAAAATTTATCTAAAAGTGTATCTTGTAAAGAAATTAAGATAATAAAAGGTTCAATTTATTCGGCATTTTTGCATATTAAAATTAGTCGAAGTAGTTCACAGGACCGTAAAATTTGTGGCCACTTTAAAAGGGCTTACTTTGCAACATATTCCAAGTTTTTGCTTATTTTAGCTTCAACATTATTCACCACATCGCGCGAATAGAATGAAAAGAGAAAATGTAAAATATTAATAAAGAGTGACGTAAAAAGGGTACACTATGTTGCTGAGTATAATAAAACCAACGCGTAACATTTGGCTCTTTTTAATACACATGTGTATTTATTGTCGACCAACTACGATATAATTTTTTTTTTATTTTAATGAGATAGTTTAGATAATTTTAAGATAATTTTAATTTCATGACAGATAGAAATCAATTTATTTAATAATATAATTGTTATGATAATTAAATATATAATTACGCATAATTATAAATTATTTTACATATAAGTAGATATAAATCAGAAGCGAGTACAACTTTTACATGTATCAGTATATTTTCGCATAAAGTTTAGACTTTTCTTTTCCTGCAAAATAACACTGCAGACTTTAAATCAGACATTTTACTCACGGAAAGAGAACGCTACATTATTATTTATAACATCTCTGTGTTTTGTCCAACGGTTTAGTTCGTCGTGCAGTTGGAAACGACTCATCTGGGAAATGACTTGTGAAGTCATAATTTTGTTAGTCTCGTACATAATTGTTCCATCTTGAGACATATTTAAAAGCAGATATAAACGCGTGTTAAATATATTTTATCGCGGCGCATGCGATTTTACTATATTTTATTCCCGCGTTCGATTCTCCCGGAAAGATCCCATGAAAGAGACGCTTTTGGCGAAATCAAGTTCCCGGAGTTGCAAGTCGATCCGGTGGAGTATATAACGCGGAAGTAATCTGCTTTGAACGCGGCGACGAAAATGTTTGTCATACACCACCGCTGATCACTGTGGCGCGCACAAATAATAAACCTTATCGTTCCACCGGGATATCACGAATAAATCTTGAAACTCGATTTCCTCTCTCCTGAGTAACAACACATCGCACGGGTTATCGCGCGACGTTTCCATACGGAGCAGCATGACCGATCTCTGGCATTTCCCATTTTCGCACGTCGCCAAAGGGACGATCGATACCGTGTCTGGACCGATAAAACTTACGATTGGCGTGTGATTGTTTTGAAAAAAGCTCATATTACGTAAACATCGGAGATACTAGATTAAAACAAGCATCGGAGTTTAATAAAGAGGCCTAGGCTTCTTCTCCTTAATAAAGAGAGAAACGCGAAGAGAAGGACACATATCTTAACAAGGATTTTTAAACTTTATTTCTAATTGATATATATATGTAATATTATAATAGCCACAAAAAATTTGTTAATGTAATCTAACAATTAAGCTATTATAATAATTTTGTTTTAGTATATAATAATTCCAGAGAAAGATCATTTTTTTTAAATTGTGGGAAATAGAAGGAAAAAAGCGTTTTTCAATCGTAAGCTATTTTTTAATATATATTTAAAATATTAATCATATTCTTTATCAATTTAGCGAAAATGCATGGTATTTATGAATGCTTCTTTTCATATTTGATTTATTTCTATAAAAAATTTTACATTTAAATTACAGTTATACATTGTATAATTTTGATTATATGAAGAATACTTGTAATTAATTTGATTTCAATTAAATGTGATCAAAGCATCAAAAATATGAGAACAAATATCATCAATTTATTTTAAAGTTCTGCTTATTATCTTAAATGCAGTTTATCTCTCACGAAATTGTTTTATTTATTATTAGCGTATACATCAATCAGTTCTTCAAAATTTTAACAAATTTATTGACTAATTTAGATAAAAAAATACTTTCGTGAAATTGTCTCAATTTTTTTTACATAATATTTTTGTTATTTTAAATTGAATAAAATTGCGTTTGCATCAAATATTTTGTATCAGAGCTTCCCTCTTATTGCACTATCAAATTTTCGAAAAACAGAAATCATAAATACAACATCGATCGATATAAATGAATTATCTTATCGGGAATTTAACAAGCTCTCACGTACATTAAACAATCATTGTTAGCAGCGATCAAAAGTTCTTTATCGGTGTAGCCGCGAGAGAAAGAGAGATTGCACATTCGCAGTTATTCTGTCCATGATAGAGGGTTGTTGCGGCATCTGTTGCGCGACTGTAAACGTATCGCGAGAAACTTTCGCCTTTGCAATCTCTCGATCCGTTGTCGTGTACTTCAATATAGTTGACTATACGAACCTTGACCCAAAAACGCTTTTCACGTGTCATCATCATTGTTTCGATCTATCACTGTGGTTTTGGACATTTATTATTTCGGACAACATTCGTACATATGTACATATAAATAGGATCAAGCATCTCTTTCTATCAAAATTGGAAAATGGACTTTCGAAGCTTTCTCTATATATATGTATATAGATAAAAAAATGTACTTGCATGTATTGCATTTCACAAAATATTTCTAACATAATATTTAATTAAAATTTTAATTTATTGAGAATTTATTAGATTTCTCTCGCTCTCTCTCTCTCTCTCTCTCTGTTTTATTAACGCAGATTAATAAATTATTGAAAAGAAATTTATAAATATATTTGTAGAATTTACACATTAAAGTCCAATAATGCAATAAATGTGTGTATCTGTGCGTATTGTATTTATATGGATATGGACAATATCTGTGCGTGCAAATATAATATTGTTCTGGACTTTGTTTATATATAGGTTCCTCCATAATAAAATGACATTTAATTAATACAGTAACTCGTAAGTATTTTTTGATCGGTTTTAAATCAAACTTTAAATTAAATTGGTATAACATTAAATTGAAATTAATTTTTAATTTACAATATTATTTTGATAAATATATGGAAATAGAGAGAGACTAATACGAGCAAAGTGAGATGTGTGACGAATAAATGAATCTCCCATTAATTAATAGGTAAATATATTAATAGATAAATATTATTTTGTATTTTATTTTTTAAAGCGCTTACACATAAGAAAATATTTATGTTTTATATTCTGTATTTTTTTTTACATATAATGTTTTTTTCGACAGTCTTGTATGAAATATATTTTATGATATTTGTTTAATATTATTCTGAAAAACTGTATTCATAAAATAACTAAAGGACATTTGCTTTCTATTGGAATAAAAGTTATCGCTTTAACATTTAATAAATGCGAATTTTAATGTACTTGTGTGTATAACATAAGCATACACACACATAAAAAATATGTGATTGATAAAAAATAATTTTTTTTAAGTTTGCAACGCAACAGATTAAAACATCGTGTTAGTCAACATGTGGTTACATTTAAAATTAAAATGATTACCGAACAATTCTGATAAGCGATACTTATCAACCGACAGTTTTTCGTGCTCGTATCGAACGATACGGAATTGGCAAATTTCCATTCGCGTATCGGGAGAAAGAAATCGCCGCGTGAAAAATCTTTCTCAATACATGTGACACTTAAAAAGTCCTTTTCTATCTCGTTGTCGTTTTTCATCTCAATTTCGTCCGGGAATCTTGAGTTCGAGAACACTTCATTTTAGAATTCTAATCAAAAAACGTAAACAGACTTTTTACATTAATATATAAATAGAATCTCCTATTAAAATAATTTTATAATCGAAATATCGTACAAGACAAATCAGTTTGCTTGTCATGCCTTTCTCCGATTGCTTCACGAAGAAGAGAGTACGGCATAATAGCTGCATAAGAGCAATATCTATCGGCATAACGTCAATAATAATACGGATGGAGTCATTTATAATAATAAAGCACTGTCGATGGTAATTGTTGATCGATGCAGCTTGTAA